AAAAAAGAAAGGCCAAGAGGACAGAAAGACTAAGGGGCTTCCAGGACCCTAGGCCTGGTCTGTTGTGACCTGGCTGCAGTCGACCTGCATTTCTGGTGATGGACTGATACCTAGGCACTACTTGTGGGTGTCAGAGTGTGGGGGCCGTCTAGAGAGGTTAGCTCTATAAATGTGGGCAGAGATGGTAGAGGTCCAGAGGGGAGTACCCACTTCTGGACTAGGGAGTGTGGGAACATGTTGAGTATATGATCTAGGAGCATATATGTCTGGGAGGTCTGCGGTGTGTGTTTGCAAGTGGAGCAGAGTGTGCATTAAAGTATGGGAGAGAAAAGTTTGGCAGGTGACATGTCTGTGGAGGGGAAGGTGTGGAGGTGTGTGTGTAGAAAGTTGGGGTCCAGTTGTCTCTTTGGAAGGTCAGTGTTCATGATGCTTGAGCCTGGGGCTGGGTGTTAGACCAGGCCTGTGTGGCTTTAGCAAATAATTTAACCTCTCAGAACTTTTCCACATGAAAAATGGCAATAGCATCCATTTTATGGGTTGTTACAAGAAGCAAGTGAGCTATTCACCACCCCTGCATTCCTGGCCTGTACCCCAATTACAGATTGGGGTATACACACATAAATAAATAAATCTTTAAAAAAAATGAGGTGATGTGTATAGCTTTCATGTTTGTGGTTAGAGGGTGATGCTTACCAGGTGTAAAGCCCTGGGCATATATGAGGGGTGCTTTCTATGCCATAGCTGGCCCCATCCCAGTTCCACCCTGACTTCACCTGCTACAGCCTCCAGCTTTATGTTTTGAACAGGGATTAGTTATAATATCTTATTCGTGTGGTCCTTTGAGGTTTCTACAAAGTGCTCATAGAAAAGTGCCTTGTACCTCACTGGGCACGGGGCAAAGGCTTGGTAAGATGGGACTGGGACTCTGGCGTCAGTCCCAGTAGTCAGTGCTATGCCCCTATCTCAGACTGCAGCTCTCACTGCTCGTCACTAACCACTGGGCCTTGGCATCCTGGAAACACACTGCTCAGTGTCCTTGCTTCCTGCCTGCTGCTCTCCTCCAGAGGTGAGTTTGACTTCCCAGCCCCAGCCCTACCCCAGCCGGTCCCAGGCCCAAGGCTCACGCCGAGGTGATGGCTCGGTATCGCTCCAGGCCAGCTGTGTCCCAGATCTGAGCCTTGATGGCAGCGGTGCCCAACATGACTGTGCGGGTAGAGAACTCGACCCCGATGGTGGTGCGGCTGTCGTGGCTGAACTCATTGCGTGTGAATCGGGATAGCAGATTGGTCTTGCCCACACCAGACTCGCCGATCAGCACCACTGAGGGACAGAGAGATAAGAGCTGAATTCCGGGCAGTAACCCCCAGATCACCTGAGCTTGGAGTGCGCCCACAGGAAAGAGCAGCTGAGCTTAGATAACTGAGGGAGAGCCAGGTCTCCTGGCAGAGAATGGGTCTGTAACTCCGCATGATTCATCCATCCTGGCCAGAAAGGCCAAGATAAGGGGCCTCCATGGTGGCCTAGGGGTTAAGTCTCAGTGCTACCGTCATGAATGCCCACTGTGATGGCCTGAGTTCAATCCCAGGCCAGGGAGGTGACGTGGTATAGCAGACCGCTCCTGTCTCGCCTGCTCTTCCCCTCAGCAGTGTATTTCAGTGCATCTGTCTGTTCTGCTCCCCACTCTGTCTCTGGTGAATCCTCTCACCACAACCTCCCATGTATACTCTACTTCTTCTATGCAAAAATAAGTAAATAAAATATTTTGAAAAAAGAAAGTCCAAGGCCCTCCCTGGTGGCGCAGCGGGTTAAAGCACAGCATTGAGAATCTAAAGCCACTTCAGCATGAGTTCAATTCCCGCCTGCCCTGGAGGTGACCACATGGCGTGGCAGACCTCTCCTGGCCCGCCCGCTGTTCCACTCAGCAGTGTACTTCGTCGATCTGCCTGTTCTGCTCCTTACTCTGTCTCTGGTGAATCCTCTCACCGCCCCTGAGCCTCTGTCCTGTACCCCAGTTCTGTATGCATAAATAAATAAATCTTTAAAAAAAAAAAAAAAAAAAAAAGAAAGGCCAAGAGGACAGAAAGACTAAGGGGCTTCCAGGACCCTAGGCCTGGTCTGTTGTGACCTGGCTGCAGTCGACCTGCATTTCTGGTGATGGACTGATACCTAGGCACTACTTGTGGGTGTCAGAGTGTGGGGGCCGTCTAGAGAGGTTAGCTCTATAAATGTGGGCAGAGATGGTAGAGGTCCAGAGGGGAGTACCCACTTCTGGACTAGGGAGTGTGGGAACATGTTGAGTATATGATCTAGGAGCATATATGTCTGGGAGGTCTGCGGTGTGTGTTTGCAAGTGGAGCAGAGTGTGCATTAAAGTATGGGAGAGAAAAGTTTGGCAGGTGACATGTCTGTGGAGGGGAAGGTGTGGAGGTGTGTGTGTAGAAAGTTGGGGTCCAGTTGTCTCTTTGGAAGGTCAGTGTTCATGATGCTTGAGCCTGGGGCTGGGTGTTAGACCAGGCCTGTGTGGCTTTAGCAAATAATTTAACCTCTCAGAACTTTTCCACATGAAAAATGGCAATAGCATCCATTTTATGGGTTGTTACAAGAAGCAAGTGAGCTATTGCCCAGGATACAGTGAGTGTATAGTCTGTTATTGCTAGGACACTTATTGGTAGGCAGCGCCTGACCTTCAGAGTTTCAGGGATCCACCAATGGGACCATGAAGAGACTGTGGGCTGATGGCCAGCAGCCACGGCCCAGCCTGGCCTTCCTCCCCCTTCCACACCTCCTGTGAGTGAGCTGGGGGCTGGATTAGAGGCGGGGGAGCTAATGTAAACCCAACCTACAGGTTGTACCAATACTGAAGGGTTTAGCAACGGGCTAAAGCGCAGCACTATGAAGCTAGCCAAGGCCACTTCTATGAGAGTTCCATCCAGGCCAGCCAGGGAGGTGACTCTGGTGAATTATCTCACCGCCCCTGCACCTTTGGCCTATACCTCAGTTCTGTATGCAGAAAAGAAATAAATCTTTAATAAAAAAAAAATACTGAGCATACCATCTAGGATTAGAGGGGGCTACTTAAGATGGCTCTGGAAAGGCAGGCTGCATCTAGACTGGTAGTCACGGTTGCTGGGCCCTAGCCCCCACTGACTAGTTAGTTATAGGACCTTGAATGGATAGCTTGCCTTTTGTGGGTCTCAGTTGCCTTGTTTATAAAATCAATAAAGACTCCTTTTTAACACAATGGGCCCTCCCTGGTGGCACAGTGGGTTAAAGTGTAGCACTGTGAAGCTTACAGGGTTGCTTCTGTGTGAGTTCAATCCCAGCCCCTGAGATGGTCCACATGGCGCAACAGACCTCTCCTGGCCTGCCTGCTGCTCATCTATCTGCCTGTTCTGCTGTCCACTCTGTCTCGGGTGAATCCTTTCACCTCCCCTGCTCCTCTGGCCTGTACCTTAGTTCTGTATACATAAATAAATCTTTAAAAAAAGAAAGATGACATTTGGGGGTTGTTGTGGTGACTAGTAAGATAGTGACTGAAACAAAGTAAGGGTACAATAAACTGTTTCCCCTTCCTGAGAAAGATGCCAAGAGTACAGGTTCCTTGGCCAAAGTCAGGTGTCTGAGGGCGGGGCTGAGGCTGGGAGAGGCAGTGGGGTGGGGCGGGGCGGGGTGGCTGGCCAGACTCCTAGCTCTGCTAGTCCACCCAGCCCTGAAGGAGCCTGGGGGCGGAGATGTTGCAAACTGTAGGGGAAAGAGTGAAGGGGGGTGGTCACTAGAGGGACCAAACATAGTAGCTGAAAAGCGGTGCATGAAATACGATCACAGGGACTGGGATTTGGGACGTGCCAAGGGGCAGAGGGGCAGCCAGAGGAGGCTATGGCCCTTGGAGGACTAGGGGTTCTATTGGGCCCTGTTCCGAATTCATTGTCTTCCCTGTGCCTTTACCCAGCTCTCTGAGGAAGTAGCCTTCTTCTTTCCTATACATTTGCCCCAAAGTTTCCTTTTTTCCTCTTAAGTCTGTTTGTTTTTCCTTTTCTTAGGAGGGAAGTCCCCCCAGAAGTCTGCCCTCCACCTCTGGGGTAGCTTGGCTAGTTCCAGGGACTTGGTTTTCCTTATTCGGCACTATTAAGGCAAGATCGACATTTTTATTTACATCTCGAAGCAGAAGCATCCTGGCAGCTCCAGGACTTTTGCCAGACCCTCCCCCACTCCCTGCAGCTTCTTTCTTAACCCAGGGAATGAAGAGTCCCGGCTGGGGGTGGGGGCGGGGCAGGGTGGTGTTAAAGGTAAGATTTTAAAGACAGGATCTGCCCCCTCTGGCTCAGGTGGTCTCTTTCTGGGTCTCTCTCAAATATCCTCTTTCTTTGTAGACCCCCAACTCACCCTTGAAGACAAAGTTATAATCTTCCTCAGTTCCATTCCCCATCTTGGCTCCGCATGGAGGTTGTGTCTTCAGGGGCAGAGGTGACAGGTATATGCGTTGGCTCTAGGCCCTCAACCCTCAGCTCTTGAGAGGCCGCGAGCCGCTCCTCCTCTCATTGGGGGTAAAGAAACTATGTCGGGCTGAGGGCTGACTTAGGCTAAGCAGGACTGAGGGAGGCTAAGCAGGTGGGGGCGCGTAAGGAAGCTGAGAGGACGGAAACTGAGAACAGGAAGAGCAGGCGGCTGGAGACCTGGGGCCCAGGTGGGTGGAGAAATGATGACGTCAGACAGGTTAGACAGGTTGGGTGCCGGCTCTCGGGAGGGCTCCTGAGAGTAGGTTGAGCGGGCTCTAGGGGGTGCTAGTAGGAGGAATTGAGACTGGGACAGGACCTTCAGAGAGACAACTAAGGATGAAGTTTGCATTGCTAGCAAGCCATACAGCAGAACAGAAATCTACTTGGCTTCCAGCTTTCCCCTTTGAAGTCTCTGGTAGGAATAGCTGGGGTACCAGTGGAAGGTGAGGTGAGGGGCTGATGGGGTGCCAGTCATCAGGCTGCAGTGCAGAGCTCTGGGACCTGCAGCTTGATTACAGCAACTGTGGCCCCTCCCGGACAGCTCAGCCTGGGATGAGCAGTTTCTTACGCTGGGTGGGGCTGTAACTTACCTCCTACTCTCCTCTACCCCAGCTCTAAGGACAATGAGTGGGGAGAACTGGGGCAGAAAAAGCCACTATGGTCTGGGGGTCTGAGCACAGCAGCACAGCACCAGGGTCTGGAGATGAAGGCATATGCGACATGCTGTGGGCTTCTACTCCCTCTCCAGGACCTGAGGCTCACATAAACCTCCTGTCTGCAAGGGTCTTCAAGATCTGGAGGTTCGTGTAAACACATGAATGCCTAGCAGGAAAGAGATGGCCCCTTGTAGGTCGCTAGCAGACGTCCTCACAACCTCAAAGGCAACCCCCAGGGCCTAAGTATATATGTGTGTGTGTGTACGTATATAGATATAGACATACACACGCACATTTTTTTTTAGCCTTAAACTGAAGTTTATTGGACAGAAGAGAAGTCCCCTTATTGATACCCTGAAGACCAGGAAAGACAGCAGGACCTCAGTAGGGCAAACTAGGATTAAGAACACTGCGGACCCGACCGGTAGGTAGCTACCCCACTGCCCCCTTCTGGGTCCAAGAGGCTCCTGAGCCCTGCTTCTCCATGAGCATCTACCTATAGGCATGCCTGCTTTCCCATACTGCCAGCAAGTGGGCTCCATGCCTCTCCCTCCCTGTACCTTTCCTCCAACATGACTCTATCAAGCCCCTTGCTTCTCTGTACTCCCAATGTTTTGCCAAACAGGTGGGGAAGACTCTGCTCTGAGGTGAAGGGCTTGGTGATGTCACATCACTGGACAGACCAGGGGAGTTGAGGCACCACTGCCAGAAACCATTTGGCTGTTGGAAGTCACAGTGGGGTGGGAAAGTATGTGGAAAGCCATCCTAGAAAGGTGTGAAGAGTCCTCTAAGCAGTCCTTGTTCCTCCCTACACCTGCTGAGACCTCCCTCAAAGAAAGCAGGCAAGACACAGGCAGGAGTTTAAATTTATTCTTGGAAAAAAAAAAAAATCTCACCCTCCCCCCCATAGTCCCGAAGGGTTTCCCCAGGGGGCCCTGCCCCTCTAAATGGTCATCTCTTTTCTGACTCTAGCTTCCACTGATGTCCACTATGATGCTGCTACTTGGGTGAGGGGCTCCTCCAGGTATTGCACCAAGGCCTGGGCCTACAAGAGAGGTAGCAGAAATCAATCCCCACCATGGTCTGCCACTACAGGGATCCCAAATCCAGCCCGCACCTAATGCAGCACCCCTGCTGCTCCTGGGAGTTAGCCCATGCCAGACATGGACTGGGTGACGTGGGGACGACTCCAGAAAGGTGGGGCTGGGAGTGCACAGTGCTGGAGCAGGAAGGCCGGACCCAGGGTTGTGCAGGAATTGGCACATACACACCTTGGCCTTGAGCATTCCGAAGCCAACGGTCTCCTTGGCATACATACACAGCAGGAGGTTGGCCACTCGGGTGATGGCGACACGGCCCTCCTGGGGGGGGTGATATCACCGGATGTGATGCACAGCTGACCCCCTTAGCCCCCTCTGTCCTCAAAGGCTCCCTTTGAGATTACCTTTTGCTTCCATTTGTCCTAGGAGCTTCAGAAGTGGTGCTTTGACCACTGTCCTAGACACAAGGGTTTTTGTTTTTTAAGTTTAACTTATTTATTTTAGCATAGGAGAACTGGGGTATAGGCAGAGGTAGGAGAGTGAGAGGAATCACCAGAGACAGAGTGGGGAGCATAACAGACTGACATACACTGCTGAGTGAAGCAGTGGACAAAACAGGAGAGGTCTGTGGTACAGGTGGGTCACTCCCTGACTGGGGTTGAACTCAGACCATAGCAATGATAGTGCTGAGACTTAACCCCTAGGCCACCAGGGAGACCCAACATGAGGTTTTGAGCTCAGATCGGATCTCAGCACAGCTACTTACTAATCAGGTTATTCTGAGAAATTTGATCTCCCAGGAACTTGGTCTCCCATTTTGAAAGCCCTACTTCACCCCAATGGGTAAAGGTGCTAGTAAAAGGAAAATTCATACCTGCAAAGGGCTGTTTAAATGAGTGATGTTACTATTATGGGCTCACTCCAAAGATACTATAAGGGACTTGAGAGCAATAACCCAACTTTTTTCTCTTTTCCCGTAGTAATATTTTTCAAAATGCAGGTCTGACCCCAAAATTAGGAACTCAGTTAAGAAGGCTGATAGCAACTAAAAGAAAGTGAGAAAAACAAAGTCCTTTGCAAGTAGTTAGGGAAGTACTGTTTCATGAAACTTATTTTAGTGTGTATAACTTAAAATGGGCACTAATTTAAAGTGTTTATGGCTGGGTTGTGGTTAAAATGTTTGAAAGCTAAGGCCCTATCACACCAGCTCTAGGCTACACCCAAAAGGAGTCATCAATTTAAGAGATGACATGCTTGGTTGGGGAGAGGGTAGGAAAGAGGTAAGCAACTGAATTACATGGAAACCCATCCTGGAGTTCACCCTTGGGGACTTTTTAATCATTCAGCAAACTTTCACCATGTCGCCACTATGCATTGGGAACAGGTGATGTGCCAGCTACTTCTCTAGTGTCATCTTCTCTGCCCTTCTATTCATTCATGACGCTCCAGTAACACCAACATCCCTGATGCTTGACCAAATATCAAGCCTCTGCACTTGCTGTTCTCTGTCAGAAATGTTTTTCCCTCAGAGTTTCACATTTTCTTCGGCTCTGGTGAAATGCCTCCTTTTCAGTGAGACTGGCCCTGACATATGTCTGCCTTTATCTCACTTCCTTCCTTCCTTTACTTTCTCCAATTTCAAAATCTATCGTACTATTTTTAAAATTTCATACATACTTTACAAAACACATTTACAACCTTATTTTACCAAACATACATATTTTACTTGTTTTAAGGCATATATAAGACTATAAGCTTCGTTAGTAGGTCTGTAGTTTTTGTCTGTCTTGTTTGCTACTTTCCCCCAAAGACCTAAATATTGGAACAAAGCTGTCAGTTTTGTTTTCAGAAGTTCAGTCTACTGGCTACTTCCTTTTCTGGACTGCATCTCCTTTCTCTGTAAACTGAAGGGGTTAGTCTAGGTTCTGGAGACTCTGCCATGGTTCTGTGAATCTGGGATGAAAACACTTTACATCTGCACATCGCTCAACAGTTTTCATCCACTCTTCAATTTGACCTCCAAAATAATGTGAGGTGGCGGTGGTAGGGAAATTATTGTTTTCATCTTAGGAGTGAGATAAGGAAGCTGTGAGACGTTAAGGTGACTTACCTAAGCTTCCTCAAATGGTTAAGTGGCTGGCTGAGAACCTCAGTCAGACCTCGGGTCCAGGACTCTTTCCTCACCATCATTTGATGCAGAGGGTCCTGCCTATCATAAATGCTGTTGCAGACTAGTTTAGTAATCTTCCGGAAATCCTGTCCCTGCCCTTCCAACCATCCAGGATGGGGTCCAGGTTATTCCCTGGGGATCCCCTTGGGGGACAGAGGGCATGGCTCCCCTCTCCATACCATGCAGTCCATGAGGATGAATTTGAGATTGTCTTCATTAAATGCTTGGTTGCCATTTCGATCGTAGGCGGCCCAGATGTTACTGGCGATGGCCGCGGTGACCCGGGCGTCTGTATCCCCATAACCGGAGTAGGCCAGCAGAGAACCTTCGTTATTCAGCAGCCTGGCGAGGGGCAGGAAGGGATATCGACGTACCCAAGGACAGGAAATAAAACACCCAGGTACCCATCCCAACTCCCGCCACTGGCGCTTCTAGAAACAAGAAGCTGGGCAGTGTCCCCGAGCACTCAGCACATTCGTCCCCGCTACCTGCAAAGCCGCTCTGTTCCCTTCCCCCTTCCGCGAAATCCTTCCTCAACCCTCCCTCCGAGAGCCGCGCGCCATCCCACTCCAGCGCTGCCACTCGGGTTCTTGATCGGCACTCACAGGGTGCTCTGGACACCTCCGGTGTTGGCTTGGCTTAGCACTTGGGTCAAGGCCTTGGGACGCAGCATGCTTGTGGCTCCGAACGCTGGGCTTGTGCGCCCTGATCCCGGAGTTGCTGCCTGCTGACCTCCGCCTGCCACTTCCCGTAGTCCAGCTGCTCGGCTCCGGAACGCCCTGGGAGTTGTAGTTTCCTGGCCCGGCTTTTGTGGTTTGGACGCCACACCGTCCCGGCGCGGGGGGCGCTGGGAACTGTAGTTCCTCGTGGCCGCGCGAGGCACTCTGGGATCTATAGTTCGCCTTAGCAGTCAGACCACGCGGCTATGGGGTGGAAAGAGCGGGAGTAAAGGGACAGTGGCAGTTCTAGAAGGATGTTTAACCTCTTCGGGGAGAGAAAAGTCATCACGTCTGCTTGGCAATCACGATTCAGTAATTTTTTGTGAAGTCGCCGTGTTTGTCTGGCACACGTTTGGTTACTTTGCAAAGCAGTCTTCTACGTTTTGCACAATTTTTTGAGGTGGGGAGGTAGAAAATATTGAGGGAACCCAGGTTCGGAAAGGCCACACGGGCAAAATGCAGGTCTCTGGTCCCGTCCTTATCAGACCTTTATTCAGGCCCTGACCCTCAGGGAAACATGGTCAAGCCTAGAATTGAGAGCCGCGGTGGACGGCCAAAAGTGGGAAAATTCAACCTCCTTGTCGGGAGAAGCCCCAACCTGACAGGATTTGGGCTCCCCAGTTACCACAGAGGACCGAGATAAAGCGGCGACACAGAAAGTCCTTTGTCCCAGAACGGGAGTTAACCCGCGCAGAGGGCGGGGGCAGCTTCGGGTGCGAGGGAACTCCGCGCGGCTCGGGCAGGTCGCGCCGGGGAGGGGTCTCTCGCCCGAGGCGCGCC